AGTGGGAAATTGCAGAAAAATGTTAAAGTTGCTGTTACTTTCCTTGGACTGTTCTTGGTTTTTGAACTTCTCCAAGCACCAAAGGTGTGGGAGGGTCCCGGGACGGGCAGGTGGGTCTGTCCCGGGTGGGAAGGCGAAGGAAAGGAAGATTGGGTGATCTCCCCTCTGTAAGGTGATGGACAGAGCTCGAGGGCAGCGAGGTGCCGTGCGGGGGCTCTGCCCTTGCGCCGGGCAGGGACAGGGCACTAGGGTTGGTTTGTTCCCTCTTTGTTTTCTTTGTTTTTCTGGTTCTCTCTCGCCCTGGTTGCATAGCACTGGGAGATGCCATGAGCCTCGGGGTGAGCTCCTGATTGGCATCTGGCACCTCCCGGGAGGCCAGGTTTGGTTTGTCGGGCGTTTCCTTGCTCTGCCTCAAACCATCAGGCTCTAGCACTGGAGCTGTGGGTGAGGTGTTGGCAAAACCCCTGCTGGCCCCAGAGTTCCTTTCCGCAGCTGTGCCGAGCCGTGGCATCCCTGATCTCGCAGCTTTGCTTCCCTGACGGCCACCCCGACACCGTCCCGCTCGTGGGCAGGGGGGATACTCGTGGCAAGGTAACGCAGCCCTGGCACTGGGAGTGGGGCAGGATGTGCCCCACGCCCCTGCCAGCTGCTCCACGTGTCTGAGAGCCAGGCCAGCGCTTCTCTCTGGAGCAATGGTGATGCTTTTCACCGCACCTCTTTACAGGATAGAACTCAGAGAGAGGTGACCGAGCGCCGGTGCCGTTGTTAGCAAAGCTGAGCGCTGCAAAGAAAACACGCGTGGAAGGTCGTTCCCTCTGGGTTTAGCCTTTGCTCCTGTCCTCTGTGCCGTGGCTCAGCCATAGCAAATCAAGGGATGCCCTGCAGCTCGGGAGCATCCACACAGATCCCAAAGCCTTCAAGGAGCGCGGTGGCCACCCTTCGCTCCCTGACGGCGCCTGCTTCGGGCGGCCGGGGCAGCCGTAACCAGCATTCATCACTCAGCAAAGCCATGCAATAGGTCAGGACAGGAATGAAGACAGTTCTCATTCGGTTTCTGCATAGAAATAGCACTGTGAACCCAGGATCCCTGCCTGGGACCCTCCCGGCACACGGGGGCATTTCGTGAAGCGGGGCACGGTGTCTCCTGCGCTTCCAGAGGGGTTCGTGCTTGGTGGAATCAAGCGCCTGGTCCTTCCCTGCCGGGGTGGCGAGGTGGCCTGTTTGCTCTTTCAGTTTTGTTTTACCTCATTTTTTTTGTTTTATACTTGAAGAAGCGTCAGTGATGGACATTGTACAGTGGTGCCCTGGACTGGAAAGCGGATGCACTTTATCGTCGCTTGTGTGGGTCCCACCCTGCCTCTGCCCCAGCAAGGTTTCCTTGGTGGCAGCAGAGCCAGGGCGGGCTGGTTCTTCCAAAACCCTCTTGAGGATGTTAGGGAGCAATCTCTGTGTTTTAGTGTGGATTTTCACGTACTGTAGAAACTCGAAGTCACGTTCTGTTGTCAGTCGACCCGGTGAAAAATTCAGCTGGAATTGTGCTGGGCAGGTTTGCCTGTGCCGTGCCAGCGGGAGATGGCGGAGGTTGGGCAGCTTCTGCTTCTCTCCCGTGTGACTCCTCTGTTCCAGTGGGGTTACTCTGCTGGAATCTGGTGTTGCCTCAGCCCTGGCAGGCTGCACCGTTCCCGCTGGATCCGCTCCAGCGTCACTTCAGGGCTGCTAATGGAGCAAATTGAAAGTCACCCCCAGTAAAGTGACACTAATGTAAAATCTGGAGTTGTTCCACTGGTGTCTTTGCAGGGATATGAAAATGAAGCTCCCCTCTGACAGTGGCACTGGGTTGCTGATGGCAGGATGTGCTTTTTTGGGTTTGTGATGATGCTTTGGAAACAACCTACAGAGAAACGGAGCGAGGAGACGGAGCAGCGTGGTGAGGCCACGGAGATCTGCTCTTGGCTGGGTTGAAAGGTGCAGTCTCAGGCTGCTTTGCTCATCTGTGAAACCATTGGCATTCTTTTTTCCTTTTTCTTTATGCCTTTTGTTCAAGATAATCATAAAAAAAGAGGAAAAATAAAAAGACCGGGGGCTGGATCCCGTTTTGCAGTATGGGATTTGCTGCTGGGTTAGAATCGGTGTTAAGCAAACATGAAAGGTGATGGGCATGAGGGCTGGTGGATCCCAGACTGGCAGTTCTGATCGAGCTGCAGCCAGCTCTGATCCCAGCCGCAGGCAAGCCAGGGAAATCCCCAGGGATGCCCAGAGCAGCCTCCGGGCACCTGGCTGCACAGTCGGGAGCCTGTGGGGCTGCAGAGGATTTCCTCCGGCTCTGCCCTGCTATCAAAGAGATCCGGGCTCCAGCTTGCTGCCCTGGGGACTCTGTGGGAGCAGCTCCAGCGGGATTTCCCCTGTGAGACACGAGCCAGGCCACCGGGTCCCGCAGCAGCTGATACCCACACGGGGGGGAAGAGCCGCCCTCCCCAGCCCTCCCCAGCCCTTCATGGCTTTGCTCGCCCAGCGCTGCTCCCCCTCATCCTCACTCCAGGTCGCTGTACGAGTCGGTGCATCCGCTTTCCCCTCGGATCCGGGCGCTGTCGCTCCACGGTGCTCCCGCCTCGCGCTGAGCCAGCGGCCACGGGGGTGGCCCGGAGATTCCCGGCCGTCCCGACCGCGTGGCCCTTCCATTTAAACTCCGCTCCCTCTTATGTTTGTGTTCGCTATTTTTTTTTTTTTTTCCCCCCCTCCCTCCCCACCTCTTTTCTTTGAACGTCATAGGAAACCTGTAGTCGGGATTGTTACTATTGGAAACCGATCACATGTTCCATCCAGGTATTTTCATCTCTCCGGCGTTACGCAAAAATAAAGGCCTGAGAGAGAGATATAACCGAACATAGAAGTAGAGTTAGGCTCGTTGTCTGAGTTTTGAGGCATATAGTATAATGGGAGAAGGAAAAAAAAATTAAAATAAAATAAAATTAAAATAATGATGTTGCACAACTTGTAGAAAACAAAGAAGGGAAAGGGTTAATGTATTAAATGTGCTAAATTACATTAAGAACTTAATTTTATTAAAGTATTATTACTTAAGAAACTTGGTATCTGCTCTTGGTTTCTGTGTGTCCGTGCTTTGGGAGGGGGCAGGAGCAGTGGTTGGGAACAGGGCCCTGGGGGGTTGAGTTCTGGGGTGGTGAGGCCAGACCTCCCTCTGCTGCCCCTCCTGGGTCTCTCACCAGTCCTGTGCCTTTGGCAACACTTCTCAAGGTTTGTTAGAGCATTCTGAGAGGGTGAGGCCCCTGCACCAGCTGCTGTTCCCAGTCCTGGTGCCAGCAGGTCCGTGAGCCACCCTGTGCCGCGTTTCACCCTTCCCACTTCTTCATCCCTGCAGAAACCACCTGAAAGCTGGAAAGCCTGGAACAAAACTGAGGTGCTGAGCCCAAAAGTGTGTCCATGAGCCTAAATGAACTCATCATCCCACACGTCCATGCTGGTGCCTGGCTGATGGCACATTCGAGGGCAGGGAGACCCAAGGGATGTTTGGCTCAGCCCTGTCCCTTTGAGGAGCCCTTTGGAGCAGCATCCACCTCTCCCACCAGCAGGGCTGACATCACCTCTTGGCACCACATTTTGGTGTGGGCAGATGGTGTGGGAGGGGGTGGCGCTTGGCAGCTCCAGCTGGTCTGTGTGTCACCGTGACTGCCAGCTGGGGTGGGCACAGGGCAGAGCCTGGCCCGGGGGGTGATGGCCACTGCTCACCTGGGGACAGTCCCCAGCTGTGATCAGCCCCAGGATGCAGCCAAGGATGGGCCTGGCTGACTCAGGGAGGAGGCTGCCTCTGGGATGGAGAAGTGCTGTGGTGCAGGGACACACCATGCAGGGGTGGCTGGAGCCAAGGTTAAGATGCCACCATGGCTGGGCTGGCTGTGCCAGGTTGGATAAAAAGGGGCAACCCAGACTCAGTTGGGGCTGACATCCACATAGTGCAGCTGCTCCCATGCCCAGTTTGTGCCCCACCACACTGCCCCTGTGCTGGCAGCATGATCCAACCTGCCCCTCTGAGCCTGAATTTCAAGCTCTCCTCTCCAGCCTCCCGGGAGGGCACCCCCTTGCCCAGGTTACAGTCACAGCTCCCTCCCTGCCCTCTTCCTCCTCACCCTTCAGCGCCTGGGGATGCTGCCCAGCTGCCCCGTGTGGGGCTGGCAGCACTCCTGCCTGAAGGAACTGTCCTGGCAGACAGAGAAAGAGCCTCAACAGCAGCTTTATTTGGGGATTTTGCCTCAATTCCTGTTTCATCAACAAACTGCACCCCAAGGTGAGAGGCTGGCCCAGATCCTGCCAACGCGGTCAAGTGAGATGGGGTGATGGGGGGGGCAGCCAGGGAGAGACAGACCCCCAGCACTGGTTGAGTGAGGACAGACTCTCCCACTTGCACTGGTCCTGATTGACACCTGCCAGTGACCCCTGACAGGGGTTGGGCTCAGCCCAGTCTGTCCCAGCACCTTGGGAGGTGCCAGCCTGGGGGGTGGCTGCTGCCCTCCGGAGTGGGGACAGGGCCACTCTCACCCTGCAGGTGCAGCAGATGCTCCATCTAATGGCACCATGTCCCCAGGCTGGGCCACGAGGGCACCGGCCACCAGTGGCCAAACCCTGAAGTGGGGCAGGGCCAACCCGTGCCAGGGGCTTCTGAGAGCCAGAGTTAAGGGGTCCCCCGTGCTGGCACTGGCCCCCACACAGGGAGCGGCATGGAGGGAACATGTGCTTACCCTCAGCACCCCATCCCTGCCCTCACCCTCAGCCCCCCAAAGCCCTGGGCCCCCCTTGTCCCCTCCTCGGGGCTCCCCAAAAACCATGCCACCAGCCCCCTCCCCCCCACCCGAGTTCCTGCTCCCATCTCTTTCCGTGGAAGAGTCACAGCTCTTCCCTTTGCTGGTGCCTCGAGGGGGTCACAGCATGACAACAGTGTCACACCCCACCCCGCTGTCCCCAGCAGCACCCCGGGGGCACTCCCAGCCCTGGGTGCCACAGGGGCAGGGCTGGGTGCAACTGGCCGTGTCGCTGCTGCTTTCACTGGGTGGGAGGAAGGTGCACCCGGTGTCCCCCCTCCCCACCCACCCCGCGGGGCTGCACCCAGGGCGTCGCCAAACAGGGACTCGGCACGTTCGGGCTTGTCCAGTGCCACCCAGTCACCGGGTGACTGTGCCTGCAGGGGCAGCAGGGACACAGGGGATGGCATGTCCCCAAACGTGGGGAGAGAGGGGAGACACCCTGATGCTTTGCCTGCACCTCCCCCCCCCCCCATTTTTGTAGGTCCTACATAAACACAGGGCAGCGTGAGGTTGCACACAAAAGCAGCTGCCAGCCCGCCCTGCTCAGGGGGCTGCAGGGGGCAGAGGGTGAGACACGCGATGCCACCACGTGCTGGGCGCTGGGGGCAGCCCAGGGGGCTCAGATGTTCTGGCAGCAGGGGGTCTGCCGGCCCTCCTGCTGGGTGGGCAGCACCCGGATGGGCTCGATGGTGGTGCTGGGGCCGAACTCCGACTCCGGCTGCCCGGTGATCTGCCTCTGGGACACGATGCGGTAGATCTCTGCCAGCAGGGAGAGGAAGGGAAAGGAAAAAACAATGCTTTAGGTACGTCTGTCAGTGGGGGACCTGCCCCCTCCCCACACACACGGCTCCAGGGGTACAAATGCCCACATCTCCCCATCCAGCGAGCAGGATTCCACCCCAAATCCCATCCCCAGGAGGACACAATGTCCAAAGCCACCCCTATCCCTGCCCCCCCCTCCCTTTCCCGGTTGCCCCTTACCCGAGAGGATGTTGTGGAAAGCCGTCTCCACGTTGGTGGAGTCCAGAGCAGACGTCTCAAGGAAGGACAGCCCGTTCTTCTCTGCAAGGACAGGGCGAGCTCAGACGGGTCCCGTGAGCTCCAGATGGGATGGGATGGGATGGGATGGGATGGGATGGGATTGGAGAGGACGGGGGAGGATACCTGCGAAGCTCCTGGCCTCGTCGGTGGGCACGGCCCGCAGGTGCCGCAGGTCGCTCTTGTTGCCCACCAGCATGATGACGATGTTGGCGTCGGCGTGGTCCTGCAGCTCCTTCAGCCAGCGCTCGGCGTTCTCGTACGTCAGGTACTTGGCGATGTCGTAGACCAGCAGAGCTCCCACCGCCCCCCGGTAGTACCTGTGGGACAGGGATGGGGTCACAGCAGGGCCCAGGGAGAGGGCCACGGGTAGGGAGGGAAGGCAACTCACGCTGAGGTGATGGCTCGGTACCGCTCCTGCCCCGCCGTGTCCCAGATCTGAGCCTTCACCGTCTTGTTGTCCACCTGGATGCTCCTCGTGGCAAATTCCACCCCAATGGTGCTCTTGCTCTCCAGGTTGAACTCGTTGCGGGTGAAGCGCGACAAGAGGTTGCTCTTCCCCACCCCGGAGTCCCCGATGAGCACAACTGGGGGGGGGACACAAGCACAGTGTCAGCTCCCCTGGACACTCAGCAAAGGCACCCATCCCATAGCCTGGCAGGGACAGGGATCTCCCCATCTGCCCCCACTCTGGACCCCACTTCTATCTCCCTCGGGAGAAGCTGCCAGGTGAGGGACGAAGCAGAGCAGGATCAGCCACCTCCACTCCTCCTGGTGGCGTCACTACTGCCCATAAATACCCCTCAAGGAAATTCCTGCCATAAGTGGGAAGTTGCCAGTGGTTTCTGTCCTAGCCCTGGGGACAGGAAGGTGTCCTATGCACTGATGTATCCAAAAGGGGCAGAAAACCAGGGCCAGGACCTGTGCAGGAACAGCCAGGCCAGAGGCCAGGCAGGGCTGGGGCTCCTCATTCCCACCCTCTGTGGCCTCCCACCCTGAGGGCACACAGGAGGACTTAAAGATATGGTCTGAAGGGAAGCATCCTCCTCCTCCTCCTCCTCCACTGCTGCTGGTCCAGCCCCTGAGCTGGTAAGTCCCTGGGTGTGGGTTAAGTGCGTTTTCTGCCTGTCCCAGATCTGGCCTGTTCTGGTAAAACCTGGTGCAACAGGCCCTGGGGAGCTTTATCACACGCCTCCCCCGTCAAGTTTGTTGAGTTTATGACTCAACAGGTTTTTATTTATTTTTTTTTTAATTTATTTTTAATTCTCTCGCTGCCAACCCTGTCCTTTCCCCAGGTGCACTCAGACACTTCACTTTGCCCACCCTGTGGGACACTTCTCCCCACCATGGTCAGACAACAGTTGAGGTCACGACCATGCAGTGACCACGATGGGGAGGACACCAGAGCAGCAGCACCAGCAAGGGACCACCAGGATGCCAAACCACTGCAGGAGCTACAGCAAGGCACAGCTACACTCAGCCAAGGCTCAGCAGACACCATCCTCCTTGGGATGTTGCTCCATGTCCTGGATAATCCCTGCCCACCAGCTCCAGGTCACAGACATGGGTCCCTTGCATGGACTGGGGTGCAGCACCTTCAACAGTGCAGCCACCTCCTTGCCCAAACCCTCAGTGAAGGGCAGCCAGCAAACAGCTTGAGCTCCAGGAAGCCCAGCAGCACGTGGAGCAGGTCCCTGGGGTCACCAAAGACAGCTGGAAAGCACCTGAGCCTCACTGGCAATCAGCATGTCAGGACAGCCAGTGACAGAGGGAAGGGAAGCTCCTCTACAGCAGCACAGAATGGTTTGGGTGGATGGGACTTTAAAGCCCATCTTGTCCCACCCCCTATCAGGGACAGGGACATCTTACCCTAGAGCAAGTTGCTTCAAGCATTATCCAACCCAGCCTTGGACACCTCCAGGGATGGGGCACCCACAGCTTGTCTGGGCAACCTGTGCCAGGGCCTCCCCACCCTCACAGGGAAGGATTTCTTCCCAATATCCCATCAAATCCTGCCCTCTGGCAATGGGAAGCCATTTTCCCCTTGTCCCAAGTCCCTCTCCAGCTCTCCTGGAGCTCCTTTAGGCCCTGGAAGGGGCTCTCAGGTCTCCCTGGAGCCTTCTCTTCTCCAGGTTTCACCCCCCCAGCTCTCCCAGCCTGGCTCCAGAGCAGAGGGGCTCCAGCCCTCGGAGCAGCTCCGTGGGCTTGTCTGGACTCATTCCAGCAGCTCCACATCCTTCCTGTGCTGGGGCCCCAGGGCTGGAGGCAGCTCTGCAGGGGAGCAGAGGGGCAGAATCCCTGCCTTGCCCTGCTACCCACGCTGGGGGATGTGCCCAGGGCAGCACTGACTTCTCAGCTGCTGCCCACCGCACGCAGGTCTGGGAGGACCCTGACAGTCTGGAATACCCCGGACCAGCCGACAGGAAAATGCAGGCCAGTGATGAGCCAGGCTCGTTAACGCTTCCTGAGCATCGAAGCTTTGATCTGGGCTCAGTCCTTAACCAAAGGGAAGTTGCTGCTTCCCCGGCTCAACTCCCAACTGCAACTCCCCGGCTCCAACCCCCACCCCGGCAGTGCTGTGAGACTCCAGAGGGCTTTGGACCACACAGGGGAAGGGGGAGGGTCCTGCAGCCTCCAGGGGAAATGTGCTGAACCCCATCCCCCTGAGCCTGAAGGGCACGAGGGGCTGGAGCAGCAAAAGCATTTGAAACTCTCCATCCTCGCCCCCAAACGCGCGTCCTGCGAGCACCGGCGAACGTCCTCAGCACGGCGGGTCCCACTGCAGGGGAGGGGATGGAAACAGCCTGTACCTCCACACAGGGCCCCAAGGAAGGCTCCCAGAGGCAGCCATGCCCAGAGCTGCGCCTCACCCATCCTGAGCCCCTCCAGCAGCACCAGGGCCTTCCCACAAGCACAGCTGGAACGAGCATGGTGCTTCACAGCAGCTGGTGCTCCTGTCTCAGTGAAACCTAGAGTAACGCTGCTTTCCAGCCGTGGTCATGTCCCTTCTCTCAGGGCAGAAGTTGAGCTGTTGGAGCCCAGGAGCATGCCCCTGGACACAGGGAATGGACAGGCACAGGAGGACCATGAGCAGGAGCCCCCTCAGAGCTGTGCGGCCAGGGGGAGCTCCTGCCTGGGTGCCTCGCTCAAAGCACCACCCAGCATCAGAGTTTCCCCCTTCCCCAGGTCCTAGAATAACTCCAGGGAGGAGGATTTTCCTGGGCAGAGGCCAGGGGAGGTGTGTGAGGAGCCGGGGGCCACCGGCGTGTCGCTGGCTGGAATTACGTCGTGTCGCTGGCTGGAATTACTCGGGGCCGTTCGGGCAAGGCTGTGTGGGCAGGCTGACTCACTCAGGGCCGCCCCACGGTGAGCTCACGCCCCGGATTTTACGGCTCAGGAGGTTGTGGCGTTGCTAAGATGTCCCCTGGCTTCGCCAAGCACCCGCTCTGGCCCAAAATGTCCCCTGGCTTCTCCAGCATCTGCTCCGGCCACAGCAGGATGGTAGGGAAGCCTGGCACGCACGGGGATGGGGATGCTCCACAGGGTTGCTGGGCTCCCACAGCAAGGAATGCCAACACTGTGTCCCCAAGGGCCAGTCCCCTGTAGCCCCTGTGCACATTGGAGGTGTCCCACCAGGACCAGCACCAGGAAGGGCAACCCCAGATCCCAGGATCCTTCCCCTCCACCGATGCCAGGGGCAGCACAGCTTTCCCCCCTCCTGGGGTTTCTCACTCAGCCCCTAGACATGCTCCCCCCAACCAGCCCCGCAGAGCAGAGCACTCCCAGGTGCTCAGGGGCCAGCACAGCACACACAGAGCCCCACAGACCAGCCTTGCCCACCACTCCAAGGGACCAGCACCCTGCCACAGCCACGGCCACCCCTCTCAGGACTGTGCTCTCAGGCCAGGGCTCCAGCCCCCTCCCACATCAGTAACGAGCTGCTGTAATTAGCACCGGGACCACAAAACACCAGCTCCGCTCTGAGCAAACCCTCAGACCGTGGCAGCGTTTCAACCCCAGTCCCACCGCTCCCCACCCCCTGCCCAGCACAGGGAAGCACCACAACAAGCCCACACTGCTGGCCCCCAGCACTGGGAACTGGGTGTTATGTCCCAGTACAAGCCCCAGCTTCCAGCCCCATCCCAAGGGCGCTGCACGGAGCCAGGAGGCTGAGACTGGCACAGCTCATTGCAGGCACGGCCGGCGCAGCACGGGCAGGAGACCCACCTTTGAAGAGATAATCGTACTCATCGTCCTTGCCCCGCATGTCGCCCAGCACGGCAACCCCACTCCCACTGGGCTAGCTGGGATTTCCGGGCCTTATCCAGCCCCGGCAGGACCTGTCCCCCGCCCCCCGTTGGTGGCCACAGCCCTTCCTGCTCCACACCCATTGGCGGCTGGGGCTGCCCGTCATAGCCCAGGTGTGCTCACCTGGGCCAGGTAAGGGGGGGGGGCAGGTTCTGCGCGGCAGCAGGGACAGTGTGCCACCACCTGCGTGTGCCACTGACAGGGACAGTGACGGCCACACACTCACCGTGGCTGGGACAGGGACCTGGGCAGGGCATCTCTGGCACGGTGCAAAGGGAAAGTGAGAGAAGACACGGACAATCCAGCAGGAGTTTCCGAGGGGTTTTGGATAACTGGCGGAGGCTGCATCATCCCTCGGACTGATGAAGTCCAAACGGGGGATGTGGACTGGGAAAGGCTGCTTGGGGAGGGGCTGCAGGTGGAGCATGGCTTTGGGGTGGGAGGGGGCACAGGGGGGACCATGGCATCGGGGTGGGAGGGGGCACAGGGGGGACCATGGCATCGGGGTGGGAGGGGGCACAGGGGGGGCCATGGCATCCAGCTGTGCTGCTCTGGAGGCCACTGTGTCCAGCACATTATGAAGGTGGGGACCCAGGGAGTCGACCACAAACATGCAGGAATTCCAGCTCAGCAAACCTGCATTTCACAAGTCCTTTAATGATTGCGTCACCCCTGCCCTGGACACAGAGCTGTTCCTGGCCCTGCACCGGGTCCTGTCCCACCACGCAGCCAGCAGGGACCTTCACTTGGTCCTGCTGTCACACTCACCCCATGTTTGGGATGGGACAGAAGGGAGCCAAGGCCTGAGTGCTGCCACTCGCTCCTCAGGGCTTGGCTCAACTCCAGGGCAGTCCCTGGCAGGAGGGACACCCGTGGGTCAGCCACATCCCCAGCGTGTGGCACAGGAGCAACTCCAGGGCCAGAGGCAATCTGAGAGGCTCCTGTTGCTGGCATGAGCCTGGCCAGGACCTCCTGGCTCCTTCCCCAGCAGTGCCTTGGAGGTATCCCAGTCCTCTGTCCCGCAGGTCCAGAGGGACTGGGGCAGTGCATGAGGGAGGTGATACTAATCAGGGCCCGGCAAAAACACAACAGAGAGAGAAGAGCTCCTGGCACTGGTGCTTCTCACCATTTATGGCAGAACTTGGCCCCTGTGTGGGCTGCTGGTCCCCACTGCACCAGGACAGGGGTGGCACTGCAGGCAGCACAGCCTGTGCTGGTAGCCAGAGGCAGACCCAGCTCTATGCCACTGGCACATCCAAGGGCTGTGGGGTGCCCCGGGGGCCTCCCAGGGTGCCCAGGGCTCAGAGGGCCACACAGCATGGGCGCCTCTCCTCCTGTGCTGGGGCCGTGCTTGCAGGGCTCTCGCTGGCAAGTGACACCGTGTTGCTTTGGCTGCTCCTCTGCTTCTGTTTCTGCACTTTGTGGAAGATCTCTGCAAAAGAAGAGGTGCTGGGGGGTCTGAGTGTCAGCCCAGGCCCCTGGGGAAGCAGGGACAGCCACAAGCCTGCAGCCCCTGCTGTTCGCCCGTGGCTCTCCTTCCCCTCTCTGCAGCAGAGGGGTGACTTGAAGGGTGACAAAGGAGCAGCTCTGCCAGGTTGCATCCCTGTGGCACCAGGGGAACACCCTGTGCTTGGGCAATTTCCTCTTACCCAACTTGGGATTAGTGCTTCGCCCTGCGCCGGGGCTGGCAGCTCACTGGGCCAGGCTGGCTCGGCACAGCCCGGCACAGCATGGCACAGCACAGCGTGGCTTGGCACGGCACGGCACGCCTGGCTGCCCTGGTGCTGCTGGCTGCCCGTCCCAGAGAGCTGCTCCTGCATAAGCCAAGAATCACCCCCCTCCATCCCTATCTCCCCAGGTCCCCGTGGCCAGTTCAGCAGGGTGCTGGAGACGTTGAGTCAGGAGCCAAGACAACAGGAAGGGGACTGCAGATTATGGGGGAGAAGGAGCCCCTGGGGCTTCGGGAATGCCCAGGGGCCATGAGAACAAAGCCCCGGGTGTGGGGAGCGAAACGCCCAGCACCAAAGGCTGGAAACCAAACCAGCCAGAAAGACGACACCGAAACCAGCCCCGAAGAGCTCAGGTGGGGCAGGGCAGAGGAGGGAAGCTCTGCACATCCTTTGCCCAGCACTGCATCCCCGAGAAGGGCCCCTGGAATGGCCCAGGACCCTATGGCACCGGTGCCCGTACCCTTCAGGATGGTCTCGAACGCCTGCTCGACGTTGGTGGAGTCCAGCGCCGAGGTCTCCACAAACAGCAGCCCTTTGTTTTCTGCAAGTAAAGGAGCCCCCTGAGACAATGCAGACCCTGGAGAGGGCACGGCTCCACTCTGGAGCCCCTTTAGAGGTATTCAGGTGCCTGCACTGGTGCAGGTCGCTGCTGCCAGGGGGGTTCCCAAGCCCCCAGCCCCTGTGGCGGGGTGCCAGCCTGTACCTGCAAACATTTTCGCCTCCTCCATGGGCACCTCCCGAGCCTGCGCGAGGTCGGTCTTGTTCCCCACCAGCATGACGACGATGCTGGCCTCGGCGTGGTCGTAGAGCTCCTTCAGCCAGCGGTCCACCACGTCGTACGTCTGGTGCTTGGTGATGTCAAACACGACCAGGGCACCCACGGCCCCCCGGTAATACCTGTGGCAGAACCCCACTATCACCCCACGCTCTGGACACCCCCATCAGCATCACCCCCCCAGGTCCCAGAGGGGCCCGGATTCCGGGCATCCCGCCCTTACGCCGACGTGATGGCTCGGTACCGCTCCAGCCCGGCGGTGTCCCAGATCTGAGCCTTCACCACGGCGTCTCCCACCAGGATGGTGCGGGTGGAGAACTCCACGCCGATGGTGGTGCGGCTGTCGTGGTTGAACTCGTTGCGGGTGAAGCGAGAGAGCAGGTTGGTTTTGCCCACTCCAGACTCCCCGATCAGGACGACTGCAGGAGGAAGGAGAAATCCCACTGGACTGCCCTGCTGCTGGCACTGGCTGCGTGGGCATCACTCATTGCCCAGGGACCCCAGACCGGGCACAGAGGCTGGGCAGGTGTGTGGACTCAACACCTGGTGTGTTTGCTCCCTCAGCAAACTGGGGTCTGTCCCTGTGCCACGAGCTCTCAGGCTCTGGAGTGTGGCTGAGCCCCCTCGGCACAGCCCAGCCACGCTCCCCATCTGCTGGTACAGCCCCAGAGCCGCTCACAAGGGTCACAGCTACCAGGCTCTGGGCAGCAGGAGCAGGGTGAGGATGCTGGTGGGCCCTGGGTCCCCCTGTTGCAGTGGGCACCCAGGATGGGTGGCACACCAGAGCCTGTCCCATCCCTGCTTGCCCAAGGGGAGCTCTGAGCCCCTGTGGTATCTGGCCAGCAGCACCCAGCAGAGACACAGGATGCCAGGGCCCTGTGCCTGAGGAGCTCAGGCTGGAAGGTGTGAGGCTGTGCCCCTGTTTCTCCAGCCTAGGTTTGATGCCCACATCCTCTGCATGTGCCACTGCCCTGGGCACCACAGCAGAATGACTTCTCAATGCCTGCTGCTTACGGGGGTTACAGGCCCACACAGCATTTATGTCTCACATTCTCAACCCCAGCTGTCACAGCCCCTACACCTCACACCAGCAATTCACCCAGCAACCCCACCTGAAGCCTTGGGGTGTGTGGATCTCCCCATGACTCCGTGGATCCCGACACCGCTTGTCAGCCCTGGCCTCGCCGCTGTCAGCTGGGGACACGGCCAAGGCCAGTGCCTGCTCCCCAATTCCCTGACCCTTTGCAGCTGCGGGGACACTCAACAGCGTCCCGGTTCAGGACACAGCAGCCCTGGGGGGAAGGCACCCCATTTCCCTGCCCGCAGCCCCTGGCCTCCTGCTCCATCCCTTTGGGGGAAGAAGGGGGCTCGCACCGAGCGCAGGACTCACCCTTGAAGACAAAGTTATAATCCTCCTCGGCGCTGCCCATATCGGCCCGGCTGCCGCCCGCCCTGGCGGGGCCAGCGCTGGGTTTCCTCCTCGCCGCTGCCAAGCCTCGAGCAGACAGCGGGGCGGGCCGAGCTCCCGGAGGCGCCGAGGGAGGAGACGGAGCGGGCAAAGGTTCCTCACCGTCGGGGAGCGGGTGGGAGAAGCGAGGGGGGTCCGGTGGGGAGCGAAGGGTGGCGGTGGCAGCGGCGGGGCCGGCCGGGTTGGCAGCGCAGCGCGGCCCCCGGCTCGAGGGGTGGGACCGGGTGTCGCAGCGCAGGTTGGGCAGGTAGTGTCACCTCTGGGACCGTCACGGGGCGGCCGGAGGAGGAGCCGGGGCCTGATCCTGCCCGAGCGCGGGGCAGGCTGGGGCAGCGAGGGCAGGATGGTCAACACGGGCAGTGAGGGGTGCGAGGGCAGCGCGGGGGGCAAGAGCAGCCGTGGCAGGCACAGAGCCCCCTCCTACCCAGCCAAGCTCCTGCCGGCTCTGAACGTTCCCTCGCCTCTGCTGCCATCGTGTGAAAGTCGGGAAAACTGGGATGGGAAGGAGCCCCCGCTGCCCCCCGCTAGCCCAGAGCGGCTGGGCAGGGCTGGGGGGAAACTCGGCTCTCTTGTACCTCTCCCGTTGACACCAGCCCCGTTTTCCCCTTGGGTGTCGGTTCACTGCACAGCAACAGGAACCCCAAATCACTGCCCAGGCCCCCCCAGCCCGGCTGGGATGCTTTATTCCACCAGCTCCCCCTTTTATTCACAACAGACACAAGCATCAGACACATTTTTATTACCCCCCAGCTTTTGTGCTTCCCCCACCTTATTTTTAAGGCCACACCAGAGCTCTGGGATGCCCACGGGGCCGCTCACCGTCCACCCATGACAGTGATGGTGTCAAAGCCTGGCAGCACCTCCGAGCCCTCCTCTGTCCCGCTCAGGATGCGGCCACCTGTGTGAGTGGCTCCTCCAGGTACTGCACCAGCGCCTGCGCCTGCAAGCGGAGAGCAGTGTCAGCTGTGCCCAGGGGGGTTTTGCCACCTTTGTGCCCACTGCCCACGTGCTTGTTGCAATTTATATTTCAGTTTAGAGCCTTAAAAAGGTGTGGTGTGGTGCCCGGGTGGGCATGGGGAACAGAGGAGCCTCTGCAAGGAGGAAAGAGGCATCCCAGGCACGGCAGCTTCCTCCAGCCCTCCCATCCCAATCCTCAACAGCTCTTTCCCACACCACAGCAGGGACTCAGCCCTGTGGCCCTCCCGCCCAGCCCCCTCCCAACCAGCATTACCTTGGCCTTCAGCATCCCAAATCCCACTGTTTCCTTGGCATACATGCAGAGCAGCAGGTTTGCCACCCGTGTGATGGCCACTCGCCCCTCCTGCCCAGGGAGAAACAGCATCTGTCACATCCCAGCTTGGCCCGGACCACGGGCAGGGTCCCGGGGGGACCCCCAGCACCCCAGGGAGGGGAGGGCAGCCCCCAGCCCCACGTACCATGCAGTCCATGAGGATGAATTTGAGGTTGTCCTCGTTGAACGCCTGGTGCCCGTTCTTGTCGTAGGCCACCCAGATGTTGCTGG